GAATTCATATTCTTACTTGGGCAGTGAGACATGTCTCTTTCTCCACCACTGCTGCTTGCCAGGGAATGCATAGATAGGGCAAGGTGCTCCCTCCTGCCACCAAGGACAATGTGCTCTTATTAGCCCTGGAGGCTGGACATACTTCTTGTTTCAGCAACCTGGAGTGCACATGGAAAGCACCTGGCTACAAGAGTTGTAAACAAATAGAAACTTGACTGGAAGTTGCCACATAGCACAGGAATTTAAATGAGATACAAAGCCAGGCACCTCCTATTACTAAGGAAAATTCAAGCCACCATTTGTCTCTGCACAGTTCAATTTTCCAGTGCCAACACACCCCGATCAGAGACAGTTTGGCACTGAGGATTCACTGGGCCTGATGCAATGTTCCCAACCCGCGATCAGATTAGTCCTAACCCAGGATTTTATGCAAATCCAAGGCTGAAGGAAGCTTGAGAATGAACTAAGAGAAAATCCCCCTGATGAAGGTTGCTGATAAAAGCAGCCGCCTCCAGCCGGTGAGCAGCACTGCCCGCAGCCCGGCTCCTGGCGTGCCAGGATGGGCAGGGGCTCGGGGGCTAAGGACAGTCCAGCCCAGCGTGTGCCCACCAGGCAGGAGAGCAGGATGCTGCCCCATCCCACGCACAGAACAGCTCTACCTGAGCGAGCAGGAGGCCATGCCACAAACACGGACAGAGTCAGACCTGCATTCCACCGTCCATGAGGAATCCTTGGGCAGCTGTGCTGTAATGGCTGAGTGTAGGCACCAGGCACTCTCCATTTTCCTGGGCTTGCTAGATATCCTCTCTTCAGTGGACAGATATATCTACTGTGTATAATAATACACAGTAATATATCTACAGATATATTTCTACTGTGGACAAAATTTGGGAATTAAGAGGGTCTCCAGATTGCCTGTTTCCTACCTGCTTACTCACAGTGTGCTTGTTGTGGTGCCCCTTTTGTAAGAAGGCATCTACTCTAGTTATCCCAAATATTAGGAGTGGAACTAGGTCCCACAATTTGTTTCGCACCGATATGTGACATTCAAACAACAGCAGCTTCTCTCCCCTGCTCTCTATGCACGGGGTACACACTGCAGCCAAGTAGAAAGCACCACAGTTGCAGAAAAAAACTTCTAGTAGCCACTGTGATCCCTGACAATTACTCTCCTTAGCCTCTCCTTGTGCCTTACAGATGCTCGATGGCTGCTCAGCAAAGCCAGGCGCGTGTTCTACCTGCACAAGACTCTTGGTATCTGGTATCAACGTGACTAACACCGACTTGCAGGTTCTGTCACTTACCATTCCCAAGAAACTTTCTCCCGGAGGCAGTCAAGGCACAAGGCTGCCACAGCAGGTATTTTGCCAAGTTAAGCAAGTGAGCAGTGCTATGTGGCTGGTTGACATTTAGAGCAGAGCAGAGGAAGACAGACTGGAGGGAGATGTTGCAACCTTGTTTGTGTTGGCAGTGGATGGGGTTGCGAAAAAGCCCTAAGAGAAAGTAACAAACAAAGGGTGTGTCTTGAAAGGAGGTTGAGTTCAGAAACCTTTGCACAACACGTGCAAGAGCCAGGTGATTTCAGAGCTGCCTTTCCTTCACTCTTGTGACCTAAATCCCCCAACAAAAGGGACTAGTATGTGCAAATATAACAAGAGCCTCCTGGCCTCTGGACCTGGTTTTCCAGGAAGAAAACCTGGCTCTGTTGTACAGAATGACACATTGAGGTGCAGCACTGGATGTTTTTTGGGTTGTGTTTAGGGACTCAGGGACTGTTTAAGATCAGGCTTGGGGGTGGTGGCCCAATATTTTAGTTTTCATGTGGCTGAGTTTCTTCTAACATAAAGCTCCTCTTTACACTGCCTCTTGTAAGTCAAACATTATATGAGTATTTCAGATTATTTCCATTTGGTTGTTTCATTCTGGTTTTTTTTTGTTTTTTGTTTTTGTTTTTGTTTTTTTTTGTTTTTTGTTTTTTTTTCCAAAATAGGAAACAGCTTTTGTTTATTTGGGGGAGTGCAGGGTTAGCACTCCATGTGTGTGTTGCTTTCACAGAATCATAGAATAGTTTGGGTTGGAAGGGACCTCAAAGTTCATCTAGCTACAAACCCCTCTTCATGTGCAAGGGCACCACCCAGTAGGCCAGGCTGCACAAAACTCCATCCAACCTGGCCTTGGACACTTCCAGGGGTGCTTTAAGAACTATTGTCTCAGTCCAGGCTTCTAGAAGAGTACAGCAGGCAGAATCATCTTTGCAGCTTTTTTGAAGCTCCAGGAGTGAAGTGAAAGTTGCTCCTTTATTTGAACACACAGTATGAATTATTGTTCCATCTGCTGTGAGAGCACTCCCATAGAATACTGCTGTGTTACTGTAAATTTTTCTGAGCCCATGTTATTTCCTGGGAGAGGTGCTCATAAGAAGACCATTACTATTAAACTTCTAAAATTTTAACAAAAGTTAAAGCTATAGCCTAAAAACCATAGTTACCACACTACTTAAAAGAGATTAATACAACATAACTTTCCAACATAACACATATAGTATTCATTTTAATATTTGCAAAGAAACAATCATATAATATGCATTTTTCACAGCATGGTATGTTTTGAGGTTGGGGGGGAAGGCAGAAGGACATTAACATGAGAATAGTCATTTATTAAAATGCTGCAGCCCTGAGAAAGAAGAGAAGGAATTGTTGCTTTCAGAGATTGTGTGTAACAACTGACAGGGGATTTCCCTTCTTCTCTACTGGAGTATGACCTCCATTCATACTTAGCTGCTCTGGTTTATATCTATATGTTGTAGCTCTAAAACCCTCGGAGCCGAGTTCGTCTGCAATATTTTTTACGTAAAGCATTTATTTTAACAGCTTCCCTACACGGACTGTGTGCAGTTCTTTGGGGACAAGGCCATTTTTCAAAGTTAGTGCTGCAGAGACAATAAAAAAGAGCTAAAAGAGATTAGAGTTTTGACTCTTACTATATATCAGGGAAATCTTACTGGAAACCTCAGACAGATGCACAGTAAAAAGGCTAAGCATGCTGCTTCTGTGATATATTTGCCTGAAATTGCTAGAAGACTCATATAACTTTTCCCTGTTTGCACTTGAGAAACAGATTGCTTCACTTCTTGATCCAAAGTTTGAGCAGTTCATGCTTGAAAAACTGCAAACCGAGGGGCATTGGCTGATAATCATGTAATTGTGCTGCTTTTCTGTCCTTTTTTTTTTTAGTGTATGTTGACAGCACATAAATCATTGTAGCTTTCCAGATAGTTATATTGGTAGAGCTCTGCTCCCAGGATTTAAAGACAAAGTCTTGCAATATGAGGACTGAACATGAGCTGAGCCATGGCCACTATCACTGTCATGACCACTTTGCTGACAATAAAAGGTTAATCCAAACAGCATTGACTGCAGGCCTGTGTACAGCAAAGTCACACTGGCTTTGTTTATTATGGGCTAAGAGGGACCACATGGAGAGTTACCACAGCTCAGCTAATATATGGTAAGTTGCTAAGCTTGCAAGCCTTGAGTCCCTATTTTCTGATTCACATCTGACACAGGAAATGGAAGACAATAATTAATGAGTGGAAGAGGAGATATGACTTTACAATAGAAAGAGATGGTGAGATAACCTTATTACATATTTCACTGGATCTTTTACCAAACAGATGATAGACTCATTAAAAAGGGTGCACAGAACAAAGGGAACACTGACATTTAAAGAGATTCTGCTCCGGAAATCAGCCACAGAATTGGCATGATGGGTTTCCGTGACTTTTATGTTTGGCTTTCGGGTGAAGGAACAGCTTTGTGTCTATTAGACCTGCAAAGTGTTGCAATGTGGGAGTTAACACTGATTTTTAGTCTGATGAGAATTTGGTCTTGAAGTATGCTTCTGTTTCTTCCTCCACCTCTTTTTTTTTCTTTCTTTTTTTCTTCTTTTTTCTTTCTTTCTTTTTTTTCTTTCTTTTTTTCTTCTTTTTTCTTTCTTTCTTTTCTTTTAATCTTCATTCTCCACGAAGCAGCTAGCAGCTGCTTTTGCTCCACTGTTTACTTTGTTTGTTTTTTCTCACTTGTTCATAGGGCAGGGCTGCTTTTCCCACTATGCTTTTGCAGCTTCAAAGCTGTCTTCACACAAGCTGATACTACCCTGGTTTAACCAGTGTGAAATTTTGCATTTGGTGATCTACATCAGGTGTAGGATGCCTTATCCTCATTCATTTACAAAACTCTTCTAACCAACCAGAGATTAAAAACCAGCTCTATTGATAATAAGAGCGTCTGCATGGCCTTGTGCCCTGATTTAGTTAAAATGTCTTAAAGCTGCCCACTTTTAAAATAGTGCCATGGAATATGCACTCGATATGTCAGAAATATCATGCCAGGGCTGTACAAGCTATTGAGTTGTACCCTCAGAGATATACCATAAAAGCCTTTGTTTTTAAGGAGCCTGGAAAATTAGAAAGAAAATGCTTGTAAGATTGAAGTCTGTAAGTGCATTGTGGAATTGAAGAGTAGCAATACTAGAATAATGCACTGGGTAAGAGAAAACCACATCTGGCTCCGTGTCACCTCTGTCTTGCAAAGCAACCTCGACAGACACCACAACTCCTGGAGTGTCTTTGGGAGCAGTGGGTGCTGCCTGCTTGTGTTTGGAATCACTTGGAACACGATGGGCTTAAAGCCAGCTTAAGTCTCATAAAAACCTGTAGATAATACCCAAACAAAAGGCTGTGCTGGGGCCATTTTGCACTTTCTGAAATGTTTCTCAGAATTTGGGTTCACAGGAAATTGCAACTTTCCGGTCTGATTCAGGAAAACATGAAATGTCAGATTTTTCTGTGGAACAGAGATTTCAGCACTCATTCAGCTGAGCCAGCAGGTGAGGAGAAGCTTAACAGTAGCACATGGAGTTAGTGTCCACCACAGTAATCCCTTGAGCAAAGAGCACGAGGCTGGAAAACTCTGAAAGGGAAGTCAGAATGACCCTAACAGAAAACCTTTCCTAAAGGAAGCCACATCTGTTGAAGCTGGCATGGAAGACTGTTCTCAGGAGGAGCGAGATGCAAAGTTCAAGGGAACTGCCTGCGAAGACACACGGTGACGGCGCTGGGTTATATAATGTGCCTTGGTGTGAGGAAGCTCTTTGTTCTATTTACAAATCCCTGTATTACTGACAAGGAAACTTTGATGGCTGCCTTCCAAAGACAACAACGAAGAAAGAAAGAAAGGTGGGTTTTTCTTTGTCTTGCAGCTCCCATAAATCCCCTCCTATTCTGAAATGTGATTTTTAAAATTATTTTTCTTTCCCCATGTGTAATCCCATTGCAGGTTTTACAAGTATAATTACAAAGCAATTAAATGTGGGAGCAATGAGGAAGACTGTACCAAGGAACACTGAGCCTATTTGTTTGAAAACTCCACAGGTGCTGGTTACAGCTTTGAAACACCAAGGTTATTGTGTCTGAAGAGTATTGTTTCATCCACAAAGAGGTCAAATACCGGAGAACATTCTTGGATATTATGTGAGATTTAAGCGAGACTTGTTCCTCAAAGACTACCTTATGAACCAGTTTATCTGATACAAAAGCTCCCAAACCCAGAGAAAACTGAGGGTGAGATTGGAATACCAACAGAGAAGATAGAGCAGAGGCCACAAAATCATGAATAATGCAGAGTAGAGGGATAGAGATTGAATAATCACTATTTGCTATAGCACGAGAACACTGATTTTCATTAACAAACAATCACAATCATTTTTCTCTGCAGAAACCAGCTTTTATTAAACAGATTCTTCTAAGTCAATCTCTGGGACTCTGCCTCTACTATTCACTTTTCTGTACTCCTCAGTAAATATTTAGACTGAAGGTGTAGAGCTGTAATGTCCTCTGGGAATAATCTTTGGTACCTGTCACTAAATCCATTCTACATATTTGCTGGTGAACAGTTTGGCTGTAGATTAGATGCTGTTCTTGCTATTCAGTGAAACATTTCCCTGGGTACTTTAGGGGCAAAAGGCATTTATTTGGTATAAGCACATTATATCATATTTGGTAAAAGCACATTATAAAGAATTATAAGGTAGAGAGAGTCCTTCCAAGTTTTGTTCAAACTCCCTTTCAGACATCAGGAGTTCTTTATCTCAGCTGTCTATCTAGGAAAATATTTACCCATTATAATGACCTAATCACAGGAAAGGGCCAGGGCCCAATTTTCTCATTTGCCTGCCTGTCTCATTGTGGGGTGAGGCTTGATGCAGGGTGTGTACCAGTCCCAGATCCCTGTGCAGAGCATGCAGGTGGTGCTCAACACCAATAGTATTAACCAATGCAATGCTCTGGGTGCTGGGGACAGAGTCTGGGTGCTCTCAAATGTTGCCTTGTGATATACAGCTTCTCCATCAAGGCCTTCCTATCATTTGGGCAGCATGGCCATGTCTTCTAGGAATCTGTGTTCAATACCAAGGTGGCTAAAGCAAGGCTGAGTTGATGGTTGTTCCTACCTGAATGTAAAAAATGAGTGAAAGATCTTAACTGAAAGACATTGGATCCATTCTGCTTAGGACAAAAGCAGAGCAGGAAAGAGCCCAGATGAAGTTATGGACATTCAAAGAGTTGAGCTGCTGTGTTTCCACAGGTGAAGTTGCAAGATGATCCCTCTGTAATAAGATAGGGTGGGAAAGGTTATATAATTAGGTTGCTTGTTGCCCTAAGCCCTCCTTCTCTGTAAGCTAAATAAAACAAATGCTTCAAGGATAGGTCATTATCAATGATCAGCTGCCCAAAGGGAGGAAACAGAGGGTGGTAAACAGCTAACACATGGGTGTAGACAGCTTTTGAATGAGTGGAGAAAGGTGGCATTTTTCAGTCTATGGCTGGGAGAGGTGAGATGTTGAACAGGTGAGATGGGCCTGCAGAAGTTCTGAAAATGTTAGAACCTTGTGGCTGAAATGTAGACAGGATAACACAAATACCAATTGGATTGTTTTTCTTCTTTTCCCTGCAGTAGGTGTGAGACTAAGAAACAAAGGTGGCACCAAAATGTCATCTTTCCTGAAGCTTTGGAGCCATTTGACTATCTCTAAAAGCTCTGTGCAGGTCTTGTATTTGTAAGCACATTGCTTCAGATTCACAGCCTCAGCTAGCCCTTGCTAGGAACCTTACCACATTCCTGGAGCTATGGTGGCTGTGGCATCAAACAGATATTTGAAGTGCTCTGAGAGATGGGACAGAATACACATAGGTGACTCTGACATCTTAAGGATTTGGCCAAGGCACCAGTGAGATCCTAAGGTTTCTCCAGTGCAGCCACAAGCCCAGTGTTCTCAAATTAATACTTTGAAGGAAAGATGGTGCTTCCAGCACACATTTACTCTCAAATTGTCCACTAGATTAGAGACAATTTGGAAGAGATCTATAAACAATCTGGTTTAGCTCTCTGCAGACATTCCTCTCCAGCCACAAGCAGCTCATGAGCAGTTTGAGCCCAGCTCCGGTGCCAGGGATCTGTCACCTCACTGGCAGCAGGGCTGGGCTGTCTCCTTGGTGATCCAAATTTTTGATGGTGTGAGGAAATGCACATTCAGGGATGGCTGAGCTCAGGGATACTGAGGTACCCTGTACTGCCTCTGTGTTCCAAAGTGAGACAGAGTAAATGGAGCAGCCTGTGGGCAGAGATGCTCTTGGTCAAGGTCAAACATGGGTTGAAATGGATCTATAGAAATTCTTGAGTCAGTCCATACTTGTGTGCTATAAGGTATACGGAGTTCTGAGGGTAGCTAATGGAGGTAAGGAGTCCATTACTTTCATAGCCCAGCGTGATCTCCCAGAGCCCAGGGAAGGGCTGTTGTCTCCTTTTATTGATGGTGCACTGAGGCACAAAGCTTCAGAGTACTGGGGAGAAACATGTTGGACAAATGTTTCTCATTAAGAAATGTTTATTTGTCAGACATGATTCCTTTCATGTAGTGCACGTGGGAGTGTATCCATTTTAGCAAGATACTCTAGGAAATGTTTTCTTGGAATCAGCATGGAATTTCTGGCTGAGGTGGTCCTTTGTTGTGGCATGGTTATTCCTGGGCTGGCTGGGAGTCTGTAGGTCAGGTCTTGGAGCTGAGGCTAGCAAGGTGGGGAATTAAAACAGGCAAGCTGATTCTCAGTCACTTCTGGCTCTGTGATGTGTTTTTCACTGCATGCTTTTTTGTCCTTTGTTACAAGGGAGAAAGTCCTCCAAAATGTTGAGAAGTTCTGTTTTTGTTGCAGTAGAGATGAGATAGATTCCTGACTCTCCAAGATGTTGGCAAATGGTGAAAGCTTTTCCAGCTCATTTCAAGCTGCAATTTTCCCCAAGTCCCACATCTGTTCTATTGCAGAGCTGCATACTTAACCCTGGTTTTCTGTATAGAAAATTAAGTAAATAAAACAATTTGCTTTTGAAAACTATTACTGCCTCATCATCTGGTGGAGAAAGGGCAAAACCAGAAACTGGAGGCCCAGCAGCCATGTCCTCTCCTTTTGACCTCATTGTCCTCTGTTTACAAGCTCGTATGTCAGATTGGTCACAGCTCTCAATTCTCAAGGCAGTTGTTTTCCAAATGAAATACTTTTCTTTACATGATTTTCTTTGTATATATCTTTAGTATAAACCAAAGTAACCTGTTGCTTCTTCAAGGCTTTAAATAATTTAGGATGTCTGTAGGTGTTTTGAAGCACTCCACACAGGACACCTCCTGAGCCTGCAACCCCAGAGTTTCGCTGTTGCATAGGGCACTGTCTGATGGCACCATGGGATCTGGGCTACCTAATAGCCCAATATCCACCTCAAGTTACTGGGAACATCCACCTCAAGTTACTTGTCTTTGCCATTACCAACTGCACAGCTTTTGATTTCTTAAACTCTTCTCATCAATCCTGTTCTTTGCTCAAGTCTGCCCAAAGGCTCAGAAAGGGAAATGGAAATGTCCAGGGGTCAAGCAGAGAAATCAAGTTCAGATGAAAACTATCAAGAGAGAATGTGTTGCCTCTGAGCAGGGTGGTCAGAGGGTCACTGGCTTATTTTCCAGTCTTGCCAAAAAACTCCTCTTGGATCTGTTCAATGCAGCAATGCAGCTCAGACTGATTTTCATCCAGAAGAGCTCTTCATATTTTAATTTTGGTTTGCTTTTTATTTTCCTTTGTTCATTGTGAATTATTTATCCTGTGTTTCACCAAGGGAGTCTAATTTTCTTTTCTTCTTCCTTCCTAATATTTAAAATCTCTCTAGGTGTCTCTGCAATACACCCATGTTCCCTGATTGAAGGAGTTACAGACAAAATCCACAGTTGGCATTTTTAGCTTACAGAGATAACATTTTGTGGCTGTATACATTTCTATGTGCTGTAACTCTATTTACTTTAGCAGAAGAGTCCTTAAGATTGACGAATGAAGAAGCATCTTTAAAATATCTATCTTGCAAATGTGTTAATGCCTATATAGGTTATATGTCCCTGTGGAAATAAGAAGAGGCATTCTTTTAATAAACAATGGAGTGCATCCAGTTTTTCTTCCTACTTAAGTTATTTCCAGCACATTCACTAAAATGCTACCAGATTCAATAATATTTGTCTTTTTCTTGGCTTCTTACATATATAGCTTTCTTCCATGACAACAAGTCCAAGATTTTTTGGAGCTGAAGCAGGAATGATGATGTGTTTTTGTTGTTGTTGTTCTTCTAACCAGCTGTCTTTGCTCATCTTGCTGTCACTAGGAGAAGACATCTGCTTAGTACATTCAATATTTTCACTTTGATTCTCAACAGGGAGGTCAGAGCCCATGCAAAAATGTCCCCCAAAATATTTTGTTACCACAAATATTTCTTTTAAGACTGGGGTACTTTGTTTATTCAGTGTAGGCTCCATAAATTATTTAACTGATTCTCTTCCTGTAAAGCAAAGCACTCATGATTTCTGTGCTCAGATCTGGACATGAGACATTTACCATTAGTGAGATACTGTGCAAGATATTGGATGGTATAAAATACTAAGTCTAGTGTTTGTACTTCTGCTTTAATTATTACACATCATTCTGATGAGATACTAGAACTTTGCTTTTTTCCCCCCACTAAACTGAGACCCAGAGAGTGAGGATTGTTAATGAAATTATGAACTTCTTTACAAATTCTTTGTGTTAATTTCATTAGAATTCATTAGAAAAAAATGAGTAGTGCTAGTAATGGTTTGGATATGCCAAAATGC